TATATATATAATATTTTTATTTTAAAATTAAACTGGAGTATTTAACTGTTTACATTGGGTGCTGCTAAAGAGTATGATTGCAAAAAATGAAATTTCTGAAAAATACTAAAACTTGTGGTTATGTTTTTGCAAACTCTTCATTTATGGATGGATGGATGAAACAACAGACAGATAGATAGATAGATAGATAGATAGATAGATAGATAGATAGATAGATAGATAGATAGATAGATAGATAGATAGATAGATAGATAGATAGACTGATTTATTCTGTTCATCAAGGCTGCATTTATTAAATATATAAAAATAGTTAAATACTTATTTATTAAACATTTGTTTATTACTTATTGTATGTAGTTTCAAATTGAATTATTACTCCAGGCATTATTGCTTTTATTACTATTACCATTAATGATAATAACATTAATAACAATAATAATAATAATAATAATAATAATAATAATAATAATAACAATAATAATAATAATAATAATAACAATAATAATTATAATAACAATAATAATAATAATAATAAATATTAGAGTGTTTTCTGAAGGATCGTCTGACTCTAAAGACTGGAGTGATAAAGCTGAAAATTCATCTTTAAAATCCCTGAAATAAATGAGTAAATTAAATGATAATCTACGTTTGAACAGTTATTTTATAGTGCAATAACATTTTACAATTTTATAATCTGTACTGTATTGTTGATCAAATAAATGCAGTCTTGGTGAGCAGGAGAAGCTTATATTAAAACATTTAAAAATCCTACTGACCCAAACTTTTGATCGGTAGTGTATATTTAAAGTAAACTAATGTAAAGTAAATTGTCTGCTTTAATGTTCAGTGAAAATCCAACGGCAATAAGTGTACTTTTTTAATTGCACTTAATGTGCTTATGATTTATGAAATGAACTTATGGTGCAGGTCCAGAATGCACGAACACGCCCTGTGTGAACATTTTTGAATGCCTTGTTCACACTGAGCAGTACGGTACGGTTTGATTAAGAACTGAGTTTCCTCTTGTTGCAAATTATAATGATGATTTACTGTGAACCAATCAGCATTCAGCCGGGAGTTGTACTGGTTACACTTACGTAAACAGTCGCACTATTTTTGGTATTCTGACACTGGAAATGGACATAAATGTGTACTGTAGCGTACCAAACCATACCGCTCAATGGAAATGAGCCATAAGAATTCAAAATAATATTTACTGATCACTTAGGGGCCGTTTACATGACAACGTCGTCGGCCAAAAACTGGAAACTTTTTAAACGATTTGCCTGTTCGTTTACACCACTAAAAACAATCTAGTAAATGAAAGCAAATGAATCAGAAAACAAGTATCGAGGCGTATATTTTCAAAAACGCTGCCATTGTTGTTTCTGTGTAAACACCCGAGAATGAGAGAAACGATGACATCACGCATGGTAAATTAAACTATAACACACAACAACGGTGGAGTGACTGGTTGTATATTTGTTGCTTAACAATACATCAGCAAAGTGTGAATTTACTTTACATTAGAAACAACAGCGGACTTTACGTTACAACAACACGCATACGAATCTGTATAAGCGCCAAGTCAACATGTCATCACTTTATTGTTGTAATTTTTCCTAACAAGATGACAGCGCCATCTACTGGCCTGGCCATAGTTATCTTTCGAGGAAGTGTAACTATTTTACGTATTATCAGAAAAGTGACTAATTCGTACAAATTTAAACGATTTCGTTATATGAAAATGTACATTTTTAAAGGAGGTGTGGCCTCAAACTCCACCCCTTATTGGGGAGGAGCAAACCATACTAAAATGTGCAAAAGAGATCATACAAGTTGATACGAATTAGCCACTAAACAAAAAAGTTACGAACTACCGTTAGATTGCGTTAACTTGGAATACGCAATACAGCATTTTTGACCATTTTCATCCGTTTGTAAATCCAGATTTTTTAAATTTGCAAATGTGAAACCTTTTTTCCGCAAACGAAAAAGGTTTCCATTTCTTTAGCTACATCGTTGTCATGTAAACGTAATCTCAGTGAGTGCAATTTATTCAAAGATTGTCATGGGCCTTTGGACGAAACAACGAAAACAGATTCATTTCCAAACGTAGACTAGCGAATTTCTTCCTCGTGCACAGTAGCACCAGTGCAAGTGTATTGCCTGTGTTTAACATGTAGACGCACGAACAGACGTACAGAGAAACTCACGTACGCAGATCTCCTCCATTACTGTTAATTGCTTGATCGCAGTCCCTGCAGTGAGCCAATGCAACCGCATCGTTATTACGATTATTAGTTATTGTCACGTTATTAAATCGTACCATAGCCAACAATGTGGAAGTTTGCAGGAAATGCGAAATCGTTAATGCGTGACTGTGCACGGGAGGAGGGCATTTGGTTTGTTCTCCAAGATAGACACGTATATATTTAACTGTACAAACATTCGTACATAGGTAGCTACATACACAAACAGTTCGTGTTAATTGCCTTTTTGACGTCCGACATAGTTTGCATGCCGTCGATGTGGGAATGTTTGTTACTCCACGTTCTTGTTGCTTTCAGTCCCACATGGCCGGTCGAATCAGCCTGAAATTATTTAAATAAACATGAAGTCTCTTTTTACGTCATTTTCTTGTCTTGATAGCTGAGTGCGCCAACCTGCAAAACAAGACAAAACAAGCAAAGTCAACTATTAGCAGCTTAAGAAACTACAATAATCTACAATAATACATCTGAAATAAACATTAAAGTGTTTTAAAGATGCATATAAATATGTTATGTAGATGTTATATAGATAGTGTCACAATCTCCAACAGTCTTGCATTAGAAGATTGCTGGGGAACTACACATCTGCCTCTATATGAACTACTACTCCCAGAAGTCTTTGCACTCACACACCAGTTCCTCATCAACCCCTGATTACACACACATAGCTGGAAGCTCATGGAGGACTGATTTCCAGAGTCTTGTATCCTGTAAGTGAGCACTACGAAGCATTTCCTTATTCTTGTCTATCTGTGTTTTGACCCGTGCTTTGTTTAGCGTTTATGTTGTTTTGCTGCATGTCCCTATTCGCTCTATTGTTGTAACCATTCTTTGGATTACCAACTGTAATATAAAAAAATATAAAAATACAGGGTGACATATAGGGGGTACAATCTACAAATCAGACAACGTGAAGCATATCTTTGATTATGTCTACACATAAAACCAAATAAAAGATCAAAAATAGACTTTCAGTGTTTAATCTTACACTCCAATTTGCACCTAGATTTTAATTGAAGTTTATTTTTTGGTCCACCTACACTTAGATATGCAAATTTCTGCAGGTTTTTGCATATGAATCATGTTCCTGATGTTAGGGATCATCTTGCTCCTATGATCATGGCTAAAACATTTCATTTCTCATCCTTTGACAGTATTTTCTAATTTAAGCAGTGATACTCTCTACTCTTACATAAAAACAGAATCACAAACCAATTGTAACCATATATTGTGTAAATGTATGCAAATGAGTGCATAATTTGACAATCTCATTTGCATACTTAAACATAACATTGAAGAAAAACTTGCAATATTAAAATGAACTAGATTAAATGGTGCATTTCGACAAAGCATGCATTTTCGAAGCATATGTGCATTGCTGGTGGAAAAGCGTGTGTGTGTGTGTGTGTGTGTGTCTGTGTGTGTGTGTGTGTGTGTGTGTGTGAGGAAGGGCTTGTTTCTCTGCTAATCTTCCTCTTTTTCCCCCATTGACCATACTGCTTATAAATAATGCATGCATCTCTGTGTGTCCGACCTCTCTCTCTCTCTCTCTCTCTCTCTCTCTCTCTCTCTCTCTCTCTCTCTCTCTTTTGGCAGGCTGTTATTCTCCTTCCCTTTCTTTAGTCTCTGGTTTCAGATTTTCTTCTTTCTTTGTTGCCCTTCCCCCACTTGATTTCAATCCATGCCTTTGGAAAACCATTCCTGGAGGATTTGCAAGTGTGTGTGTGCCAGAAATCAGAGATCATGGAAGGACGCCGCATTTATCAAGAGCCCAGAGAGAGAGTGTGTGTGTGTGTGTGTGTGTGTGTGTGTGTAATAGAAAACTGACTGAACTCATTCAGCTCGTCCACCAAAACTCATTGACTGATCAATATCATCAATAATAAACTTCAGCTCATTTTTAAATAAATAGTTTAAGATTATTGGTGTATTAATAATGTATGTGTGAGAGTGTGTATGTGTGTGTGTGTGTGAAAGTGTATGCGAAAGTGTGTGTATATTGAGTGTGTGTATATTGAGTGTGTATGCGAAAGTGTGTGTATATTGAGTGTGTATGCGAAGGTGTGTTTATATGGTGTGTGTATGCGAAAGTGTGTATATTGAGTGTGTATGCGAAAGTGTGTGTATATTGAGTGTGTATGCGAAAGTGTGTGTATATTGAGTGTGTATGCGAAAGTGTGTGTATATTGAGTGTGTATGCGAAAGTGTGTATATATTGAGTGTGTATGCGAAAGTGTGTATATATTGAGTGTGTATGCGAAAGTGTGTGTATATTAAGTGTGTATGCGAAAGTGTGTGTATATTGAGTGTGTATGCGAAAGTGTTTGTATATTGAGTGTGTATGCGAAAGGGTGTGTATATTGTGTGTGTATGCGAAAGTGTGTATATATTGAGTGTGTATGCGAAAGTGTGTGTATATTAAGTGTGTACGCGAAGGTGTATGCGGAAGTGTGTGTATCTTGAGTATGCTCGCAAAAGTGTATGCCAAAAGGTGTGTATATTGAGTGTGTATGCGAAAGTGTATGTGAAAGTGTGTATATTGAGTCTGTATGCGAAAGTGTGCACAAAGTTTGTGTATTTTGAGTGTATATGTGAAAGTGTATGCAAAAGTGTGTGTATCTGTGCATGTGTGTGTGTGTGTGTGTGTGTGTGTGTGTGTGTGTGTGTGTGAATGAGTATGAAAGGGATTTGGGGGTGGGGCTATCTGTTTGACTGACCAATGACAATTTGTGTGCATGCATGTTATACGTGTATTGAGTGTGTGTGTGTGTGTTAGTGTGTGTGTGTGAGTATTTGTGTGTGCATGAGAGTGTACGAATGAGCTCAATGTGTGTGTGTGTGTGTGTGTGTGTGTGTGTGTGTGTGTGCGTGTGAGTTTCCTCTGCAAGCAGGAGAATGTCAGATGTGTTTAAAAGCGTCTCTGTCTGATTTAACAAACACAATAGTATGCAGATCTCCCAGAATGCTCAGCGATGGGCCCCAGCAGACGGGCCTCCTCTGGGCAGACGGGTGTACGATGACCTTTGACCACCGAGGCCTCGTCATGACTCAAAGCGTGTAATGAAGAGCGTCAGAGAGCCTTTAAACAGCCCAGAAAACACCTCCGTTCACTTTAACCAACACACACACTCTAACACTTTCTGAGATCTTCTAGAAAGTGCTCATTTAATTAAGGACGGAGTGTGTAAAGTGCGCTGAAGTTTCCAGTCATTAAATGAGCAGGAATGCTGTGTTTCGGCCAGGACTTCTCTGTTGCCATCGCGACTCCAGCATGTCAGCGCTTTTGGTTTTAATGTGCGTAAGAGCAGCTCCTGACAGACCGTGCGCCACTACAGCCACTGAACTGAGTGTTTCTGGGAATATGACAGCGCTATGGAGAGCTCAGAGGATTAACACCCTCCACTAAACTGCTCCTCAAAATTAACAAATAGCATTGCAAAACTGATGACGGGCTTTACAAACACTTTCTTTGCTTGTCATTGGTCAGTCACACTGATGGCCCCACCCCCTAATCACTATAATTGGTTGATTTGGAAGATGACAAACATTCCTCAACTGTCATTGGTCAGTCAGACACATAGTCCTACCCCTAAATTGCTTTCATTGGTTGAGTTGTAAATTGATAAAACACTCCTCCATTTGTCATTGGTCAGTCAGAGATGGCCCCGCCCCCAAATCCCTTTCATTGGTTGATTTAGAAGTTGATAAAACACTTCTCCATTTGTCATTCATCAGTCAGAGAGATGGCCCAACCCCCACATAAGTTTTATTGGTTGATTTGGAAGCTGATAAACACTGCTAATCGATCATTGATCAGTCAGACAGATAGTCCCGCCCCCTAATTAATTTCATTGGTTGATTTGGAAGTTGGCAAACACTCATCTGTCATTAATCAGTTAAAAAGACGGCTCCGCCCCCAAATCACTTTCATTGGTTGAGTTGGAAGTTGATAAAACACTCCTCTGTCATTGGTCAGTCAGAGAGATGGCCCCTCCCCCAAATTACTTTCATTAGTTGATTTGGAAGTCGGTAAACACTGCCAATCGGTCATTGATCAGTCAGACGGATAGTCCCAACCCCATAATAATTTAATTGGTTGATTAGGAAGTTGACAAACACTCCTCGCCTGTCATTGGTTAGTCAGACAATCAGTCACGCCCTTAAATTGCTTTAGTTGGTCTAGTTGGAAGTTGACAAACATTCCTCTATTTGTCACTGGTCAATCAGAGAGACAGCCCCGCCCACACATCACTTTCAATGGTTGATTTGGAAGTTGATAAACTCTGCTAATCAGTCATTGATCAGTCAGACAGATAGTCCCACCCCCTAAATCATTTCATTGGTTAATTTGGAAGTTGACAAACACTTCTCGTCTGTCATTGGTCAATCAGACAGATAGTATCGCCCCTAAATTGCTTTCATTGGTTGAGTTGGAATTTGATAAAACACTGCTCCATTTTTCATTGGTGAGTCAGAGAGACGGCCCTGCCCCCAAATCACTTTCATTGGTTGATTTGGAAGTTGATAAAACACTCCTCTATTTGTCATTCATCAGTCAGAGAGATGGCCCAACCCCCACATAACTTTTATTGGTTGATTTGGAAGCTGATAAACACTGCTAATCGATCATTGATCAATCAGACAGATAGTCCCGCCCCCTAATTAATTTCATTGGTTGATTTGCAAGTTGGCAAACACTCACCTGTCATTTATCATTTAAAAAGACGACCCCGCCCCCAAATCACTTTCATTGATTGATTTGGAAGTCGGTAAACACTGCCAATCGGTCACTGATCAGTCAGACAGATGGTCCCACCCCCATAATAATTTAATTGATTGATTAGGAAGTTGACAAACACTCCTCTATTTGTCACTGGTCAATCAGAGAGACAGCCCCGCCCACACATCACTTTCAATGGTTGGTTTGGAAGTTGATAAACTCTGCTAATCAGTCATTAATCAGTCAGACAGTTAGTCCCACCCCCTAAATCATTTCATTGGTTAATTTGGAAGTTGACAAACACTCCTCGTCTGTCATTGGTCAATCAGACAGATAGTATCGCCCCTAAATTGCTTTCATTGGTTGAGTTGGAATTTGATAAAACACTGCTCCATTTTTCATTGGTGAGTCAGAGAGACGGCCCTGCCCCCAAATCACTTTCATTGGTTCATCTTAAAATTTATTAAACACTGCCCATCAGTCATTGGTCAGTCAGAAAGAAGACCCTGCCCTCAAATTAATTTTATTGGTTGAGTTGGAAGCTGACAAACACTGCTAATTGGTCACTGGTCAGTAAGACAAATAGTCCCACCCCATAATTATTTCATTGGTTGATTTAAGAGTTGACAAACACTTCTCGGCTGTCATTGGTCAGTTAGAGAGATAGTCTCGC